TGATGTCAACAGATTTTAATTCAAATTTTAATGTTTCATTTGACCATTTAGGGGATACTTTTACTGATCACGTTTTTTGACATTTACTTTAACACGACTAGTCACTACAAAGTTTGCAAACCGACTGTGGTAATATGCGTTTTCTCTTTTCACTCCATCACAATGTTAATATTTCATTGTATTGTAATTATAATGTAATAGGCTTATGTAATAAACACGGCGTCTTTCAAGTATCACTGATGTGTACTCCTTTTAATGTGACCTCTTAGGCAACTTGGCCCATCATTACAATTATGAAAAAAGAGTATTAAATATTTATAAATGATATTATATTAATAAATATTTATAAATGATTATATTAATAAAAAGGAGAGACAGAGAGAAAGAGAGAGAGAGAGAGAGAGAGAGAGAAAGAGAGAGAGAGAGAGAGAGAGAGAGAAAGAGAGAGAGAGAGAGAGAGAGAGAGAAAGAGAGAGAGAGAGAGAGAGAGAGAGAAAGAGAGAGAGAGAGAGAGAGAGAGAGAGAGAGAGGCAGGAAGAAGAGAGAGGGAGGGAGAGGAAGGGAGAACCTAAGTTTGGAATTTCATTTAAATTTCGACCTTTCATCATTTGGCGAATTTTTTATCACTCACCTTTAGTCATTTTAATCAGTTATTGATATAGAGTATTGTATTTTAATCTAACAATAATATTTGATATGCGTTATTCATTAATCATTTATTCAATCATAAGAATAATTGAATAAAAGAGATATTAAAAACTGCCTACTTTTTCAAAATAATTCCACATAAAAATAGAGTATAAAATTATTATGGAGGATTATTAATTAGTATTATATTTATTTGTGTTTGTATATAAATAAATAATATTTAATAATTATTTTTTCTTTTCTCTTTGAAATTACTTAAAAATAATTATATTACATATTGACGTATTAAAATAATATTGAAATAAACGTGTCATTGATCTATTTTATAAAAAATATTAATCTATTTTTACTTTTTTAATATAATAAAAAAATCATATTAATAAAAAATATTAATAAAAAAAATGTATAATTATATTTTAAAATAAAATAAAATTTAAAATAAATTTTAATTTAACATAATTTTGCAACAATATTTTTTATATTCGTACACAAAAAAATAATTGTTTTTCGAAGTTACAAACTAAGTAAAGTAAATATAGGTCAAAATAGAACTGTTAACACGGAATAAGAACTTATTTTTTAAAAATCCATCGCATTCTAGTGACAGACAATAGAAAACTAGTATTGTAATTGTTGTCGATCGTGTTATAACAAATAATTATTGGAAGGGCTTCGTTTGCCTACAAAACGATTGCCTACAGTTTTGTTTGCACACAACAATATGCTGTGTATAATATTGTCGTGTGTGCAATACGCTGTGTACAATATTGCTATGTACAAATGAAGCTGCATATGGATTTGATCTTATCTAACATTCCCATGATAATTCTTTTTTTATGAGAAATTGGATGGTGGGAATTGTAGTTTAGGTATCTGCCCGATGAAGTGTCTGTCCTTTTTATATAAATAAAATATGATATGATTGTCTTCTCTAATCAATTTGACATCTAAGAAATTTATGTGATTGTTATTTTTAATTTCTATCGTAAATTTTAATCGCTCATGTACAGAATTAAATACTTTATTATCACAATCGTTAGGAATTGACAACAAGATATTATCAACATGTCTATAGAAAAATGATATGTTAAACAATAATCTGTCGATAGCCAACATCTCTGTATCCTGCATTACAATGTCAGCAATTATGGGGGAGCGGCGAGCCCATTGGAAAATTTGTTTATAACATGTGTTGTGATACATGAAATAAGTGGATTATATTTATACCAATTTTGAATTCGTCTAATGGAATTTGTAGTAAAAAAAGTAATTGTTATACAAAAATTACAATTTATTTTAATATTCATTTATATCGGAGTAATGTTAATTTACAAACACATTCTCCATATTATACCTGTTTTTACCCTACTTTCCTCTTCTAATTGACAATCTTGTAATTGACATAGTTAATTCCCAAAATTTTTTAAGCCGCTAATTTGTCCGCAAGACAATTCTTCAGTTTCAGCTTTCTCGCGAATAATTACGGCTAATTACAACATAATTGCACTTACAAATGTTCGGACGCGTGACATATTGTTAAGAATGTAAATATGAAGTATTGCAACAATCGCGACCGACATTCAAGAAAAGATACATATTGTGATGTTGCTACATTGTTTGTATAACAAAAAATTATTTCTCTGCCTTTTATTAAAATATGTGCTAATATTTAAAGTTAAAAATTTTGAAAATTAACTGTGTCAATTATAAGATTTTTAATTTCGCGAGAAAAGAATTTTTCATATATAATTATACACACAAAAAAATATTTTGCTGCTCCAGCTAGAAATTATTTTTTGTATCTGGAAAATTATGTATCATACGCGTAAAATTTATAACACAATATTCTTACAATATATGCAAGAAAATTTTTAGATCTCATAATCAAATATAAATCACTACTAAATATGAATCATAGTTATACTGTCATTTGATTGAACGTTTCAGAGAGAAATTTTTGATAAATTTGACAAATAGTTCAGATATAAATTTTGTCTTTATTTCTATATTGATTAGATACGAAACATATCTAATATTGCAGTGTTTGCTAATTATTTATTCATTTTAGATAATTTTTCGCATCTAGATAATTTTCGCTATAACTGCAAGATCATTCTTTTAATGTAAATAAATCAATATTTTTCCTGACTTATATATAATCAAAAAAGTTTTATAAGAATATATTATTTAATCGCTCAATAAAATTTCTTTTTTATTTAATTATATTCGAGTTCATATGATAAATTGATTGGTCGTTTAACATACATAATGTGCTATACAGAATACTGCGTGAATGACCGCGTAAAACAAACAGTACTTCTTAAAGTGCTAATCATATAGAAAATACTTTTTAATCAAGATTTGTTACAAATATGAGGCTTTTTCTATTTACACTGCAATTTCGTTTATTTTTGTTTATTAGAATTTCGATGTTAGTAAACTATTAGTATACAATTTGCGCCAACAAAACAAGTACTCTACTTCATTGATTCACTTGTTATTTGAAAAATCTTGCAAAAATTGCAATAATAGCGACTTAATTAAATAGTAAATCTTAATAAAAATCACAATTTATATAAAGAAACTGGATATAATAAAGCAATTTTTATACATACAGAATAATATTTCAACAACTTTCAAATATTTTTATTACCATCGTGTTATATTATATTAAGTGCTTACTTCGACAATCCATGTAATAACTGTATATCTATTTCTTAATTATATGTTTATTCTTATTTTTTAATCGTAATTATCATTTATTTATTAATTTTATCATATTGTTACTGTCTTAATCATTATTCTTATCAATTTCAGAAATGTAAAATCAACATTAAGATCATAAAATTAATACCAAGCATCATACAACAATTGCAATGTGTGTCGTGCTTAACAATTTAATGTACGTCGCTGATACGTAATATTTCATGTTCCATTAATGCTTACACTTCTCAATTAAGTTGACAGTTATAATTAATTCTCTCTCTTGCTGGAATGCAAGACTCGTATACAGTTACTTCTAAAGAATTGCCTCTAAAATTTTTAAAGTGAAAGTAGAATTATGAGCAAGGTTAGGAAAATTTTCTTATAAGTTACTTTTTAGGTTATTTTATATGTGTTTATTACAGAAATTGAATACAGAAAGTAATATAAAATTGGAGTAATTAAAACATAATATAAGCAAAAACATTGTAATATTGTTTTAAAGATTTTAATCTTGATTTGATTAAATTTGTATTCTGATGCAAGATTTTTAGTCTTGAATTGAGAATAGGGAATATTTATATTACAAAAATTTAATTAAGATTAATAAGATTGCATTATTCTTTGAAATAAGATTGCATTATTTATGCTTATATAAGCATTTTCTAAATTTTCAATTTAAGACTAATTTTTGTAATTTGTAAAATAACTTTCCCAATTCTAATTATAAATGTGATGATCATACATAAAGTCTTGAATGTTTTATTTATCAGTTATTATGCAGTAAGGTAAATCCCAGTAGCTAAATGTTTAAGCGTACTCAGATAACATTTATGTTGCATGAGATGTCTAAAAGATGTCTAAAAGACATCTTTTTTTAGATATCTTATGCAATATAAATGTTATCTGGATAGATTGTTATAAATAATACAATTTATAATATTAGAATAGTTTTTAATATAAATATTTGTATTCATTTGAAAATTCGAGACTCTCTTAAGCAAGGAAAAATTATTTGAACCCACTTATAACAATTATTAATTAAAATATTTAAATGAGTAATAGAACGCGATGTACCAGTGGCCGGACAACTGGACGTAACTGTCCCAGTGTCCGATCACAATTAGAAAATTAGTATGCTGACAGAAAATATTAATATAAATAGATATATGACAAAAGACAACTAATTCAAATTGACCTTTAATATAAAAAGTATTTGAGACTAATATTAATCTAAATAAATAAAGTTTTGTGTCCGGACATAGGTACTGTTCGGTCCCAGAGAGAGAAAGAGAGAGGGGAGAGATAGAGAGAGAGAGAGAGAGAGAAAGAGAGAGAGAGAGAGAGAGAGAGAGAGAGAAAGAGAGAGAGAGAGAGAGAGAGAGAGAGAGAGAGAGTAACTGGACATATTTATGTACTTATGTCCGGATATTTACACAAAATTTTATTTATATAAGTTAACAATAGTCTCAAATACGCATTTTAAAACATATATATTATAAATTTAATCGTAATCTTTATGCAATTAGATAATATAATAATATTAATATAATAATATTATAATATAATAATAAAAAAAGCTATATCTTGTTATTATATCTCTTAATTTTCTTTTATTATTTATTAAATTAACATATTATATTAATTTTTAATATAATATAATATAAAATTTACAAATATATTTTCTTCGAAAAATTATTTAAGATAACTTTCCAGCTTTGTAAATTATTTAGCTCATTCAAATAGAAAGTTTATTTTCAAATTTTTAGATTTGTTATATTTTATTTGATAAAGATAACAATAATGTTATGTGATACTCTCACATATTTCTTATTATCAGAGGCGGTATGGAACTCTATTTATATTTTATATAATAACTTGATTAATAATCAAAATGGTTAATAATCAAATTTAAATTTAAAACTTAACAATTACATTAGTCAAAATGTTATTTAATTAATTTTAGACTTAAAGTTATGAAACATTTATTACTTAGGACGCTATTTATAAAAATGTAACGATATTGCTAAAAAATATAATAACTAAAAAAAAACAAAAGTAGTAATATAGCCTCGTACGAAAATAAATATAAACAATTGGTTTTGTTTAAAAAATAGTATTTAGTTATTTTTATTCACATAAAAAGTAAAATATTATAGAGTGTATTTACTCGAATTATGCAAATATATGTATGAATTATGCAACTCCTGCCGCAGTACTAAAAATTGACATATATGTAATATAAACTGTAGATTAACAGTAGAGCTGCAATCGATTATTAATAATTATT